ATTCGATTCGATATAATATTCGACGATTTTCCAATAAGCCAGGACGGTTTATTAGGTTATGAATTTTTGGAACGGGGATCAATGCACATAGATTTTGAAAATAAGTTACTAAGGATTCCTTACTCGATCAAAAATGACCAAAGTATTATAATACCACCACGGAGCAACTGTATTGTAACAATAAACGCAGAGGAAGCAGTAGGCCATGAAGTTATTACAATTCAAAAACAAGAAATAAATGAAGACGTGATAATTGCCAATAGCCTCAGTCCCGTGCACGGAAATAAAATCGTAAGTAATATAATTAATATCTCGGAGCAACCGTTCGTGATCGACGAGTTGTCCACCGAAAATTTACAATGGGAACCGTACTCCGATCACGTATATTTCATTAATAGCGATCGTGACGAGCAAACGCAGAACACAAAGCATGTCAAGGGCACAACGAATCGTATTCAATTACTAAATAAAGCTATCAAAACTGATGACCTAAACATCGAGGAACGTGACAGTATTATAGATTTATGCAATAAGTATTCGGATGTGTTTTTTTTAGAAGGTGATTGTCTAAACACAACAGACGTGGTTAAGCATTATATAAACACGCCACGCTGCGTAAAACCTATTAACATTCGACCATACAGACTACCGTGGGCGTATCAAGAGGAAATCGAGAAACAGATCAGTGATATGAAAAAAAGCAACATCATAAAAAATTCAATTTCACCTTTTAATTTTCCACTAGTGGTAGTTAAAAAAAAACCGGGTACCGACGGACAAGAGAAATTACGGGTATGCGTCGATTTCAGGAAGTTAAACGAGGTAACTGAAAACGAAGCATACGGATTACCTAACTTAGTAGAAATACTAGAATCCCTTGGATCGTCTAAATACTTCTCCACGTTGGATTTGGCAAGCGGTTATCATCAAATAAGTATAAACAGTGGGGACACACATAAGACAGCGTTCTCAACCAAATCCGGACACTACGAGTTTCTACGAATGCCGTTTGGATTGAGTTCAGCGCCCGCGACCTTTTCAAGAGCAATGAAATCCGTTTTAACAGGGTTGGAAGAATTATGTACCGCATACCTGGACGACATCGTAGTACATGGATCGAGTTTACGCGACCATCAAAATAAATTAGGAAAAGTTTTCGATCGACTACGGATGCACAAACTACAATTGCAACCAAGTAAATGTGCATTTCTAAGAAAAGAAGTACTATATTTGGGGCATATCATAAATGAAAACGGAGTATCACCGGACCCAAACAAAATAAAATGTATCCAAAATTACCCTAAATTGAAAAATGCGAAAAACATAAAATCCTTTCTAGGATTGTTAAACTACTACAGGAGGTTCGTAAAAAATTTTGCAAAAATAGCCAAACCTTTAACAAACTTATTGAAAAAGGATACACCATTTATATGGGATGACCTATGTGAGAATGCATTCGAGGAACTAAAGAAAGTACTAACAAGCCCACCGTTATTGATTTATCCGAAATGGGAACAAGGACAATTCAACTTAACCACAGATGCCAGTCAGTATGCAATAGGGGCAATACTCTCCCAAGGAGAACCGAACGAAGATAAACCTATTGCATACGCAAGTAGGACTTTAAATAAGGCCGAAAATAATTATAGTGTCATCCAGAAAGAATTGCTGGCAATCGTATGGGCCGTTAAGCATTTCAGACCTTATCTTTATGGGCGAAGGTTCACAATTATAACGGACCATCGACCTTTAACTTACTTGTTCAACCTTAAAGACTGTTCATCTCAATTAATGAGATGGCGACTCCAGTTAGAGGAATATGATTATGAAATAAAATATCGAGCCGGGACATTAAACACAAACGCAGACTGTCTGTCTCGGATACACGTGGTTAAAGATGCAGACACTGGTAGCAATGACTACGAATTATTCATAAAAGCTGAAGAAAAGCCGATATTTTATTCACAAATACTTGAAATTGAGGGTAGTATTAAAAATGCAGATCCGACTGATAACTTAATATTACCTATACCAGAGAATTTAATTATTACCCAAACAGCCATTAGGGACATTATTGATAGGAATCAAATAGATTTGTCAGAAAGGAACGACATAAATAATAAATTTATTAAATATAATAAAGATGGGAGAAACATAATATTTTTCAAAATTAAGCCAACGCATTTAAGCGAACTAACTCCTGAAAACATATTATCTGCAATTTCCAACATAAAAAAAAACTGTGAGGAAGACGGAATAAAAAATTTTTCAACGACTCGACTGGAAGGACTGACGACATTAAGCGGTTTCCAACGGGTTCGAGCTATGTTTAGATATAAATTCAAAAATTCAGGAATTACTGTAAAAATTTTTAAAGAACAACAATTTTCGGAAACAGAAAAAAAGAAAATTATTTATGAATTTCACGACACACCAATCGGAGGACATTCGGGAGTATCACGTACAATCAAAAGAATGAACTCACAATATCAGTGGAAAAACTTAAAAAAAGATGTAAAAAATTACATACAAAATTGTGAAGTATGCCAAAAAAATAAGACGAACAGGACGATGAGACAACCAATGCTAATCACTACTACCGTCACAAAACCTTTTGAACGTATCTGTTTAGATATTGTGGGTCCACTGCCAAAAACTTCATCAGACAACCTGTACATACTTACTATGCAGGACGAATTAACACGTTATGCCATCGCGGTAGCCTTAAGAACTACCGATGCAGAAACAGTAGCTCAGGCGTTTGTCGAATGCTTTATATGCAATTATGGCATCCCGATATCGGTATTAACGGATTGCGGAACGAATTTTTTATCAGATGTTTTTAAGAAAATGTGCAAACTTTTGGGGATAAAAAAATCAAAAACTACCCCATGGCATCCGCAGACTAACGGGTTTTTAGAAAGATCTCACAAAACTTTAAAAACATATCTACGAAACTTTGTAGATAAAGACAACACCTGACACCAAATTTGTAGTGCACAGCCCTGCCACTGCTGTGAACAACGTTTCTTTTACGACGGTGCAGCTCCGTTGTTTACGACCGATGGTTGAAAGGAAAAGGTTATTTTAAATAATATAATACAACACTTTGAATTTCGTTAAAGAATGGTATAATAATATTGATTAGTAAAATAATAAAAATTAAATTAGTTATTTGATTAAAAGCATGGACACGACGACAATAAACACTCCGTAGGAGTCCGCGTGTCCGTAGTGAGTACTTACAGTAATAACTTAAGTCTAAATTACATTGCATAAAACACCTATATTTATATAAACATTCAATGTCATATTTAAGGCTACGTGCTTTTGAATAAGGAATAAATAGTGCTACGTGATACATGATTAAGGAAAGAGTCGTTAAAGAGTTGACCAATACTATTAATACGTGAGCATTTTCGTTAGTAGGTAACAAGGTAACGAAAGTGCGAACACTTAGAATATCAATGAATACGTGTCACCTTGAGGTTTACTACAATTACAATCAATCAAAAATAGACAGAGGTATGTATTAACACATTTTTTTTTAATTCATATGGGTACTTATTTGTAAAATAAACTACTAAATCAGAGTCTTGATATTAATATAGTATTAATATATTTATTTACCTATTCTTTGATGTTTAATGTGTTTGTCTAATTTGCTTAACTACTTCCACTGTTTAATTTAGTGACTTTTATTTTTTTTTTTAGAAAAAATAGTAGAAAGTGGCATGTAAAACCAATATTTAAAGAACGTAAAATACTTGGTGATTATTATTGCTTGATAAAAGATTATCAAATAAACAATTCAGCATTATTTTATAATTATATGAGGATGACTTCTACAGCTTTTGAGGAATTGATCATTCATGTTGGTCCATTTTTACAAAGAATTCCTACCAGACCTGACACTTTATCAGTTGGTGCATGTTTAACTGCAACTATTCGGTATTCTTACAACTTCAATATTGATCAGTGGTAACATGCTATTCATAAATATTTTTATATAAATTATAGTTACATGGCATCCGGTGAAAGCATGGTAGATATATCTTATTCATTTAGAATTGGTCACACGACACGGTTTCAAAATTAATTTTGGAATGCTGTACAGCTTTATGGGATACTCTTGAAAAAATAGTAACTAAAAAACAACAATATATTGTTTGTCTTGATAATACATTTATTGGTGCTGCTCTTAGATAGTTTGTTATTTTAAAAATGGTTACAAGTTAAATGTAATATTACTCTTGTATGCGGACTACTCTTGTTTCTGCTCTAATATGCAGTCTATGTATATGATTGTAGACCATTTGAAGTCTGCATACAAGAGCAACGACCATTTATTTATTATTTTTAAAGGTTTTAAAAGTTCCTGGAAAACAAGATTGGCAAAATATTTCTCATGAATTTCTGATGAAATGGAATTCACCTAATTGCTGTGGTGCCCTTGATGGGAAACATGTTGTACACCAAGTATTTGAGATACATTTTTATGCATTATAATCTGTACATAACAAAGATCTAAAATTGAAGTATTTGTATATTATATTAAGGCATTTTCAAATAGTGGTTCTTCAAATTACAACTACAAGGGGACTCACAGTATTGTTTTATTGGCATTATGTGATGCTAATTATAATTTCACATTAGTTGATATTGGAGCTCCGGGTAGATGCAGTGATGGTGGAATATTTAAAAACAGTGTTATTGGGAAAAGTATGCTCAGCGAAAGTATAGATTTTCCAAAACCGGTTGAAATTGATAATGTTAATGGACCTATACCATTCCATATAGTAGCTGATGAAGCATTTCCCTTGCTTACCAATTTAATGAGACCATTCCCTGGTAGAGGCAAACATAATTTACCTAAAAATCATGCCATATTCAACTAAAGGTAATATTTATTAAGAATACTAGTTTCTAATTATAAAATGTTGCATATTGTTGACAGACTAAGTAGGAGCAGACGTACAATAGAAAATACATTTGGGATAATGTCTTCAAAATGGAGAATTTTTCGTCGTCCTATCATAGCCAGTGAAAAAACTGTCAATGCTATAATTAAAGCTGCAGTTGTGTTGCACAACTATATTAAAAAATCTGAGAAAATGGAAGGTAGTTCTTTAAAAAATAATAGCTCTTAATTATAAAGGTAATATAATTCAATTTCATAATCATGTACAATTATTTCTTTAAGGCATAAATTCCTATTGTCCTGCTACCTTACCTGATCACTACAACAATGGTTTACTTATTCCTGGTCAGTGGAGAAGAAACTTAAGTTCGAATGCTTTACAGCTTATTACACAAACTGGTTCCAATACACACAGTAGAAACGCAAAAGAAGTCCGTGAAAAACTCATGAATTATTACACTGGTATAGGAGCTATACCGTCCGTTTCAATATGATGTATAAAACACAAATAGTGTAAAAATTAAATTTACACTATATTTAAAAAAATACAATTAGTGTAAAAATTAAATTTATACTTTATTTTAATAAAATATTATCAAACAACATTCATAGTACATTTACATTTAACAGTAAGTCTTTTCTTTGACTAGTATTTTATAGGTACTAGGCACTTACTAGTACACAACAAATTAAACATAAAAAATATTAATAAGGAACATTGATAGTGCATTTACATTCAAGTATTTAACAGTTACTTTGAGTCTTTCATTTGACTAATATTTTTATAGGTACTAGGCAGTTACTAATATACAACAAATTAAACATAAAATAAAAGGTGGGTAAGTGGATGTCGCTCTGCTGTACAGTAGGTTACAAGTGGGTCACTGTATAATTGATGCTATTAAATTTGAATTCAATGATACAATATCATTGTATAAGAAAAACGATTCTGAGCGAAGACGGTATGTCAGTCTAGGTTAACACAAATTATATACATATCTATGGTATTAAAAAAAAATTGACCTATAATAAATTCCAAATTAATCATATCACATTATCACAATATCCATTAGGTACTTATAACACGTTATACATTAACAACAAACCCTGATACTATCATATATATATAATAGTACACTTTAGAAGTTTCAAGTAGGTACCCACGAATAATATTATATTATAATCACAACAAAATAACTAGGTTTTTTAATATGTAATTTCGTTCAAATTTGAACATAAAATGACTATAAAAATAAACTGTGATTGTATATTTTTTAGATTTTTCGGTAAGAGAATTAACTACTTACGTGGAATCTTGTTTTAAATTTTCAATCCTTAGCTATAAAAACTGAACATTTTATAATTTATTAATTACAATGATTAATAATTTTCGAGATTTTGAAAAATTCTGTCAAAATTCGATGTTAAAATGCTTATAAAAAAAAATTGTGCCTATGTATTTTTAATATTTTTCAACTGATATTGTAACAATATATCAGGAGCCTTGTATTAAATTTTTACACTTTTTGGCTCAACAGATAAAACTTAATTGATATTTATAGAAAAAAAAAACTAAAAAAATTGAAAACTGAAAATGTCCGTAAACGGCTCAAAAAGAGTCAAAATATTTTCAAAATTGTATGGTGTATAGGAAATGCTAATATAAACATTCAGTGAAATTTTCATGTATCTACAGTAATTCGTTTTTTAATTACAACAAAAAAAGGAAATTGCCACATGAGAAATCGAGTGAATATCCAATGTTGTAAAAATTTGAATTTCAAACGCTCATAAAAATTTAATTTGACTTTCCTATAGAGATTTTTTTATTGATAAAGGTAATGAGTAATATGAGTAATCTTGTATTAGATTTTCAAATCTTAGATTTAAAAAGAAAAATTTTTACGAATTCTTAACTCAAAATAATTTGCTAATTTTCGTGATTTTTCCATATTTTGTCAATTTTTGAACTTTAAATGCTTATAAAAAAAAATTGTGACTAAGGATTTTTAATATTTTTCATCTGCCTTTGAAACAATATATTAGGAGCCTTCTATTAAATTTTCAAGCTTTCGCAACCAACAAATAAAATTTTATTGATATTTCTAGAAAAAAAACTAAAAAAAAACTAAAAATGAAAATGTCCCTAAACTGTTCAAAATAAATCAAAATATTTTGAAAATGTTATCGTGTATAGAAGATGCAAATATAAACAACCAGTGAAAATTGCATGTGCCTACGGTCATTTGTTTTAATGTTACACCAAAAACCAAATTCAATTTTCTGAAAAATCGATTTTGCGTAAAAATTCCCGTTTTTCCTTAATTTTTCTTTTGTTTTTCCCGGCGCTCTTGAAAACTACTGGGAAATTTAAATTTTGACCTCCCCAATGCACCAACGATATTCACTTTCCAATCGAACAAGATACTGAAGTCGAAAATCGAAGCATTATTTCGACTACTTATCGTGTACACAGACACAAAAAAAATAAAAAAAAAAATAAAAAAAAAATAAAAAAAAAAAACACACATCATTGTAAAATCAATACATTCATCGTTTCACTCAGAATCTAAAATATTATTAAGGAACATTGATAGTACATTTACATTTAAGTATTTAACAGTTACTTTGAGTCTTTCATTTGACTAATATTTTTATATGTACTAGGCACTTACTAGTATACAACAAATTAAACATTAAAATTATTAACTTTTATAGTATAACATAACTTTTTATTTAATAATTTATTTTTTTTAGTTCTTCTGTTACTAATGCTAATATTTTATCTTCAACCGTAAGCCTTGTACCCACATCTTTAAAGAGACTCAACCGAGAAGCTAACATCCTGGCAAACACCATTGTATCATCTAGCTTCTCAATGGGTTCCATAGGTGGACGGACAGGAGCAGTATCTTTTAAAATTTGTATAAGTTATCCGACATCATTATTAGCTGTAATAAATAATTATCATATAAAATAAAAACATAAGTTATTGCAGTATATTTAGTGAGTACTGTAGTGACTAAAATGGTTTCAAATAATATTATTTGAAGTAACATTGATTTAATTGGGTTTCACACATTCTCATATAATACATTTTATTCAATAACTGTGCCTGTTTTCCACTATATATTTTAAGAAAAGCATCCCCGTACTTGCATCACTGCTTAAAACTCACTTTTATTTCGTTTAACATGTACTTGATTAGGATCTGGTGATATTTTTTGTTGAGCTGTAGGAGAGTCAATATCATTTTCAGTCGATATGTTGCATGTAGTACTAATTGGTGGAACAAATTGTTAATTAAAAATAAAATAGAAGATAATATGTTAATATAAAATGTAATGGTAGTAAAAGTAAACAAGTCAACTTATTATTTGAATATAGAGGGAAAATTACTTTTTGTTGTGTTCATAAAAATCATTTAAAAATTCCAATGGTTTCAAATGGGTCAATGGACCCATTGCTCCTTGGTCCCTTGTGATCCAGAAGGTTTCAAATGTTTTTCCCTTGTGAATCTTTGTTTAAGATATTGCCATGATTTATTTAATTCATCCAAGGTATATGCACCTAAAATAAATATAAATAATAGTATTTCATTATTACTACCTACCTATGTGTAATTAAATTGTACTAGTATATAATTGAATAATGGGAAATGTATAAAAAAATACATTGGAACTCGACATAAACCTCATTCCATAACATGGTTTTTATTTTTGGAAGCCTATCTTTTAAAGCCAATCGGTGGTTCCACAAGGGCTGCCTAAGTTCCACAAGTTCTATTAATCTGCCATAATCTGCTTCCCTTACATTATTATCTGATTTTGACGATAGGCTGTTTACTAAAATTTACATATAGCAATTAATACATTTTTAACATAATTGACATTTAAACTTTCTATTATTAAATTACTTTTCTCATCGCCAGTTTTGTTAAGTAACAGATTTGTAGTTGGTTTTGGCCGAATTTGAGTTAATTCTGTAGTATCCAGATTTACTAAAATGTATTAATAATATATAATGTTTATTATGAAAAAAAATTGAAAATAGCTATGTAAATTATTATAGACAAGAAAAACACAAATACTAATATTTTAAAATATTTATTATATCACAGGTCCAGGAAATCTATGTATTATAAAATCATATAAACAATTGTCAAATATGCACTTATAAAATGAAAAATGGTCGAATATGCACTTATAAATGAAAAATGGTCGAATATGCACTTATAAATGAAAAATGGTCAAATATGCAAAATATGCTACAATAAATTTTAAATTTAAACTCGTATTGCTACGAAACAAATTTCTATATTACTTAGCTATGTTTTTAATGATTATTTATAAACATGCAAACTCCTAGAAGTCCCGAGCCCTAGTAATAACAATACTCAGAGCTATTGAATTTATTATATTTATTTTATATTTACCATTTTCATCTATATATTTATTTTGATTACAAACATGTTTATTTTTGTTATTTTTGATGTACACAACTTTGCACAATACGCATTTTTCTGCCTGAAATAAAATAATCAGACACTAAAAACTAACAGATTACTTAATTAAATATAAAAATGAAAAAATATTTGTTAATATTTTAAATAATACTCAATCTCTTTAGAGTATTTCACCGCCACCGCTGCAGTAGGTGGGCACTGTGGAGCATTTGAAATTTAAATTCGCATGAATAAATAAATAAATATAATATACTTACAAATATATATGAATTCATTTTGAATTTAACAGCTTGACTTCAGAGAGTTGAGTCTCGAGTAATCGAAATTCGAAGGAAGACGAATATGTTTCACTAATTAGTAATTACATTCGGTTTTTTAGTTTTTACTATTTCAATTGATTATAAAATATAATAATTTAAATATTTTTATCAAACATCAGTTACCACACGATGTAAAACTTGAAATATTTCAACTTCACGGTTACGTTTGGTTATGATAGAATCGTGTGATGTTACCATTTGGTACAAACGGTATTAAAAGTATGGTTCAACGAATCAAAACGTCTGAATAAGAACACGACACGAAACACGAAGTAGGTGTGCACCCAATGCCTTTACATTTGATGACCGATTAGCTAATCAATGTTTAAACATAGAACGGTGCAACTAGCCCTAACATACCACTGTAATCTGGTTGCTAACTGACTGGTTCAATGAAATAGGCAGTCATATCGTTCCCACAAAATAAATTCCACATGGATAACGTTTCTGAACTCACTCCTGATCTCAGTGTTTCGAATGATAATATTCATAGGTAATAATTTGTATTTTGTATCACGGCCCGTAATTCAAGATATTTCATGATAAACTGTACTCCTGCACCCTTCCCAAATGACGTCCTTGACCTAAATGGCTAAATGCAAGCTGAATAGTTTGTTAATTTATAGCCTATTTTTAAACAAATAGGAATATTATTTTAGTTGAAATCTCAAATAGTCAATTCACTAATATTACCTAGGTACTCAGTATA